CAAAGGAGCACTCGTCATTGCTCGTGGTAAGAAGACTGGTACTCTCTATGTAACCTCAAATTTAGAGAATATCATTACAGTAGCAGATGCTGATGGAAAATCAAACCTATGGCACCAAAGGCTTGGCCATATGAGCGAGAAAGGGATGAAGACACTTTTATCAAAAGGGAAGCTGCCGGATCTAAAGAATGTAGATGTCGGACTATGCGAGGATTGCATCTTTGGCAAACAAAAGAAAGTCAGTTTTTACAAAGATTGGCAAGACACCCAAGGTAGAAAGGTTAGAATTGGTTCATACTGATGTATGGGGATCATCCTCAGTTACATCTCTAGCAGGCTCACTATATTATGTCACCTTCATCGATGATTCAACAAGGAAGGTGTGGGTTTATTTTCTGAAGAAGAAATCAGAAGTCTTCGATACCTTCATAAAATGGAAGGTCATGGTGGAAAATGAGACTGGTCTGAAAGTCAAGCAGTTGAGGTCTGACAATGGAGGAGAGTACAGAAATCGTAGATTCATAGATTTCTGCGCAAATAATGGGATCAAGATGGAGACAACAGTTCCCATGACACCGCAGCAGAATGGCGTAGCAGAGCGCATGAACAGAACTCTGAATGAACGTGCCAGAAGCATGAGGATACATGCCGGATTGCCCAAATTTCTATGGGCTGAAGTTATCAACACTGCAGCTTACTTGATCAACCGTGGGCCCTCAGTTCCTTTGGATCGCAGAATACCATAGGAAGTTTGGAGCAAGAAAGAAATAAACCTTTCACACTTAAGAGTGTTTGGTTGTATTTCTTATGTACACATAGACTCTACTGAAAGAAGTAAACTTGATGTCAAGTCCAACAAATGTGTCTTTGTTGGTTATGGTGGTGATGAGTTCGGTTACCGATTTTGGGACTATGAAAATTGGAAGATCATTAGAAGCAGAGATGTTATTTTCAATGAGAATGTGATGTACAAAGACAGGGCAACCATAGAATCAAGTAGCTCCAATACCGAAGCTGAAACAAAGGAATTTGTTGAGTTCGATGAGATTTCTGGAAATGATGTTCAGGTCAGTCCTGAAGCAGTTCAAGAAGAACCAGTCACACCAAAACTGAGACGCTCCTCCAGAATTCTTAAACCAACCCAACGTTATTCGCCTTCTTTGCACTACTTGTTGCTGACTGACAATGGTGAACCAGAGTTCTATGATGAAGCAATGCAAGTGGAGGATTCAGTCAAGTGGGAGTCTTCCATGAAAGATGAGATGGACTCGCCTATGTCAAATCAGACGTGGGAATTAGCTAAATTACCATCAGGCAAGAAAGCACTCCATAACAAGTGGATTTACAAGATCAAAGAAGAGCACGATGGGAGCAAACGCAAGAAGAGCACGATGACAAAGCAAGATTGGTTGTCAAAGGCTTTCAGCAAAAAGAAGGTATTGACTACAATGAAATTTTCTCTCCAGTCGTGAAGCTATCTACAATCAGACTGGTGTTGAAAATTGTAGCTGCAGAGAATTTACATCTTGAGCAGTTAGATGTAAAGACAACTTTCCTTCATGGTGATTTGGAGGAAGAAATCTATATGAGGCAGCCAGAAGGCTTCATAGAGGCAGGCAAGAAAAATATGGTATGCAGGTTGAAGAAGAGTTTGTATGGTTTAAAACAAGCTCCTAGACAATGGTACAAAAAGTTCGATAGTTTCATGGGTAGCAGTGGTTTTACCAAATGCCAAGCAGATCATTATTGTTACATCAAGAGGTTCGACAACAACTTCATTATTTTATTGTTGTATGTTGATGACATGCTCGTTGCAGGCTCAGACATGCAAGAGATTATAAACTTGAAGCAAAAATTGTCGAAGCAGTTTGCTATGAAGGATCTGGGCGCTACAAAGCAGATTCTTGGGATGAGAATCAAGAGAGACACAAAGTCGGGGACTTTGATGTTATCACAGGCTGAGTAAATCAACAAAGTACTCTCCAGGTTCAACATGCAAGATGCTAAACCAGTAAGTACACCTTTAGGTGTTCATTTCAGACTCTCCAAAGACCAATCACCAAACACGGAGGAAGAACGTGCACAAATGGTGAAGGTGCCGTATGCCTCAGCAATTGGAAGTCCGATGTATGCCATGGTTTGTACCAGACCAGATATTGCTCATGCAATGGGAGCTGTTAGCAGGTACATGAATAATCTGGGCAAAGTACACTAGGAAACAGTCAAATGGATCCTCAGATATCTTCGAGGTACCACAAACAAAGCACTTTGTTTCAAAGGTGGAGATACGATACTGACAGGCTATGTAGATGCTGACTTAGCCGGAAATGTTGACATCAGAAGGAGCACTACAGTGTATGTCTATACTCTAGGAGGAACCGCAGTAAGTTGGGTTTCTCAACTACAGAAGATAGTTGCTCTCTCCACAACTGAAGCAGAATATGTCGCTGTTACGGAAGCCAGCAAGGAGATGGTTTGGCTCCAAAGTTTCTTGGAAGAGTTAGGCAAGAAACAAGAAAACAATGTCTTGTATTGCGACAGTCAAAGTGCTATCCATCTAGCGAAGAATCCGTCTTTTCATTCCAGGACGAAGCACATACAATTACGATATCATTTTATCCGGTCTCTTCTGGAAGATGGGATTTTGAAACTTGAAAAGATTAGTGGAGCTCAAAATCCGGCAGACATGTTGATAAAGACGGTGACCACAGACAAACTGAAGTTGTGTTCAACTTCAGTTGACATGCTAGAATAACAAGATCAGAAATACTGCTGCATTGATCGAGGTGTGAAGACATATTAAAATCAGTCTTCAAGCGGGAGATTGTTGGAGAAAAGTCAAAATAGGGGGCAACTAAATTGATTTCAACATGGGGCGGCTAAATTGGTTTTCTACAAATGTTTGGCACCGCCAAACGCACAATTCAAAGGTGGGCTGCCTAATTGTTTGAAAATGGTAATGGATAAATCATACATTGATCCATTGTATTTTAGGGTAATTACAAGATTAGTCCCTAAGTTTCAACTATAAATACCCTAGCTCATTTAACTTCAAAATCATTCCAAAATCCCAAATCATTTCTTTCTCCCAATACTAGAGAGTTTCTTGTGAGTAATGAGTGTTTTGTAAACACCTGTAAATTTTCTCTCTTAGTAAAAAGTCTGCAGCAGTCCGGAGACGTAAGCACAATTGGCTGATCTCCGTTATCAATTTTCGGGTATTATTTTTCCGTTTTTATTTCGCATTCTTAATAATCTGGTTATAGGAAAATTACTCGTACTTGGTTTATTTCCCAACAGCACTGAGGGAATTGGCCCTGAAAAGTCGTTTCCCCACAGATTCAGGGTGACCAAATTCTTGCAATTCGAAATCTCAACCGGAACTTCACCATGGAACTTGTTTTCTGATAAATCCAATACCTGCAAACTACAATTCTCCCTAAAGCATGATGCTGTGATTGATTCTGTAACATAGTTTCCAGAAAGTGAAAACTCAATCAGCCTTGCAAACCCTGTCCAAATGTTACCACCAAAATGGTTGGAGCTCAAGTCCAGATACTGCAAATTCGTGTACCCATCGAAGTAATCGAGTCGACCGGAGAAACAGTTCATCGAAAGATTTGCAACAACTAGTCTATGGCAAAATTCTGGGAGACTAAACTTAACCTCCCCATGGAACCGATTAGTGGACAAATCAAGCTTCTCTAAACTGGTCAATCCAGTCAAGTTCAGCTCACCTTCGAGGATATTGTGTGATAAGTTGAGGTACATCAGGTTGTGGCATTGATTCAAATCGTCAAGAACAGGTCCATTCAGTGTGTTTTTTGAGAGATCAAGATGTTGAAGTTCAGTTAAGGCTTAGAAGTTGTTGAATATTTCCCCTGAAATCTTGCTGTCCGAAAGGTCTATACCAATGATTCTTGCCCCGCCATTAGAGCACAAGACTCCATGCCAATCACATGGATTTGAGCTCCTTTGGTTCCACTCCACGTATCTTCCTCGATTCACTCGGTTTTGTGTTTCAAGAAAAAATTTCAGGTTCATCACCACTTCTTTGTCTCCGTCTAGTGAAAAACTCCCTGAAACAGCAGCAGTAAAAGCTGCAAATCTAAAGCGCTTGTAATTTCATCAAACATAAATGGATCACTAGGGATACAATTGTTCAAGATAAGAGCAACAAAACTGTTATGAATTAAAAGAAGCTAAATGAGTTTGCACCTGTAATAAGGATTAAGAACACTGGGATTATGAACGTGGAACACCGTGAGTCAGCTTTGTCTTCTAACAACATGGTCTTCTTCTTCTTCTTCTTCTTCTGGTATGAAAATCTGGGCTTGTGTTAAATTATTGAGTTCTTTAAACAGGAAACAGGTAACTGTAACATAAAACCAAGATTAACACAAGTTTGGGTTCTTAATTTCAGTTTCTAATCCAATTGCTGCCTTCATAAGATTTGTTGCATATTCATTCGAATGTTAATATTATTATTCGATGTGAATCCACATGTCCGAATCTGACTTCGAATTACAAATAAAAAATATATTTATCTATAAAATAATTCAAATATTAATCATAAAACTTTTAACATATTTAAATATTTTACGTATAGTTTAAAATTTAATTCATATTTAGATAATAATATTCCGGTTTTTCTTCTTCTCAGGAGCATCATGAACTTGTGCTTTCCTTCCATATGTCTTCATCTGATAATTTTCAAAGGCCTTAGAAACTGCTCCTACCTACATATATTACGTATAGTTTAAAATTTAATTCATATTTAGATAATAATATTTGAATAATTTATAACACTTCAATTTCAGATGTGCTTAATACAAGATTAATATCAATAAGGAAAAAAAAACAGAAAAGATCATAAATAGTAACAGCACAGCAACCAATTAACTATGTCAATATTTGTATTACCTGAAAGAATAGGATCACAAGAGATGAGGCCTTGGTTAAAATTGGGTTAAAGCTACAGAATTTTAGATTCATGCCATAGCCAGTTTCTTAGTATTAAAATGTGGTTTAGGAAATTACTCGGTCAAGCCATACGAGTATTGTAAATTAGTAAACCGAGTATAATATTGTATTTGTATATATGAAGGTAGTGTGTGATTAATATCTAAGCCGGCTTTTCTTCTTCTCAGGGGTATCATGAACTTGTGCTTTCCTTCCATATGTCTTTAGCTGATAATTTTCAAAGGCCTTAGAAACTGCTCCTACCTACATACACATACATATATTACATATATTATCAATATCATGGAAATTAAATCTAAGAATTTTAGGAGGATACCAGTTCAGATTTCTTGGAGTATACTCTGACAATCATATCTTGATAAAATGAAGGCAGCAGGTGACTTATGAGCTCATCTCGTATAGGAAATTTGAAATCAGTCTCGTAATCCTGATCAAGAACTCCGAACACGGCCGGTATATTAAATTAGTTTCAGTGTCACAAAAACACAACTAGGGAGGAAGTGATGTTAGTACCTGGAAAAACTTGATGCTGGATGTGGAAATACATGTTCAAGGAGAGCCATCACAAATCTGTTAACTTTGTTCAAGAGTAAAAAAAGTAACTTAAATGGAAACATTATGTCCATTGGCAAGTACCTTTCGAGAGGGTTATTCCTCCCGCGAGTCAGGTCAATTTTCACAATGCTCACAGCAATATCTTCCTCTTTCAATGGGGGGTCACCATTTTTCTAATGGCAAGATCAATTTTCATGTCAGTTAGATATTACTCTGAGTGAAGAATCTAGCTTAAAATTCTTTTTATTTTGGCACCTGAGAACAAACAATATCTTGAGGAGTGATGGACTTGAAATGCTCTTGCTTGTCCTTTGGAACAATATACTCATTACAGAACTGCAAAATGTAATGAATTGTTGAAGTGGACAATCCAAAATTTCTTTCAAAGAAGAAAGAAAACCCTATTTGATATATTATTTGTTAAAGAATACCTGGTATAGGTCTCTTTTCCGGATGCGCCAGACCAGATCTCTCGCTTTCTTCAGCTCTTGTTTATCAGAGGTTTCAATTTGTTTTACTATTGAATCATCTAACTGCAGTTCTCAAAGGGAATAAAATTGGAATGTTGAAGATACGTGCAAATAATAAAAAATGCTTAAAGCTCAAAAGACCTTCCAAAATTCAGCTGGCTCATGGATTGATGCCGATATACTCAGTTCACCATTTGCTAATGTTAAAGCATCTACAACCATGAGTTCTATTGCCTGGATAAATAAGAAAAAATGACAAAGCATCAAAAGACCATTGCGTTTACTGATTAAATATTCTACTTGAAAATAGGCTCTAAATACGATAGACAGAGAGTAGTTGCAGAGTACCTTTACTTTAGCATGTGTGTAAACTGTTCTATGTAAATCAGCTCGAGTAGCAAATAACTTGTGGACAGTCAGATCTGTCAGAAACATGGAGTATATTAGCTGAAGATGTAATTATTCGATGAACTGATGAAGATAATAAATTTGGACAAATACTAACAATCCTTCGCCCGGTAGCATATCTCGTCTTCCATCACTCTCATCGTTTCCATTAACCTGCAGGTTAAAATGAACATGAAGAATGTGTACCACTGCAAAATATGCCCAATAACTGCAACTTTGCAGATGCAGAAATGTTCAATTAGCTTGAAACTTAACAGCTCATCACATTATGTATTTACCAATAAGTGATGATCATTATGAATCTATCCCTACCTCTGAAACTGAAAATTGAAGCCAAGGTCACAAGCACGAGAGTCGCGTTCAATATAGTCAAATCTGCAAGGAAATATAATCATCGACTCTACTTTCGAAACCATTGTAGTGTAGTCAAGTTTAAAATTAATTCCCGATACGGGAAATCAGTATACTTACTTATCAACATCTATTCCATTTCTACCATTTGCAACAATATCGTATAGAAAACGCTTTTCGTTCACAGTCTACATTAATGGAAATTTAAAATTGTGATGGCAGAGAAATTGATGAAGAAATAAAAAAACAGGCAATAATATGAGAGAGCATACAAGATTTAGGTAAATTCTTGTGATTACTCGCTTACATTTTGAAAAGAATTTGCTGAGCTAGCAAGTACCATGTCCTGTTGAAATGGGAAAATTATATCAATCCCCGCATTCCATATAGCTAATTTCCATGTACAAAGTGAATAGGAATTTCACAGAACATAATTCTACCTTCACATTCTTAAGCATTGCAGCATCTATTTCAATGTTGTGCTCATCAACAATGTAATCAATCACCTTCACTGACATGTCCTCATGAGACCTGAAATATTCAAACAATTAATCAGAAAAAAATGGATTAAAGGATTCAGAGATCACCATAAACCGCAGTTACTTTTATCTTGTATTAGATTTAGATGCACAATATGCGGTGTCAACTTTGAAATGTTGTCATTTATATGAAACACGCATAGAAGGTTGCATAAACTGAAAATTTTTATTGTTGAACATAATGAAAAAAGAGAGAATCAAACTCGTGGCAGAAATAATCTTAACAGTGAAAAATACTAGACTGTCTAGAAACAAATCGTGTATTTATTCTTAGGATAATGAGCTATTGCCTATTCACTAAGGCAATGTACTGCACCCAGTGATTACATCTCAGACAAATATTAATAATCTATAACCAGAGATGAATGTAAGAATCACCATTCAGATCCATTAAGCACCCGGGGAAGAAACTCGCGCTCAAACAGATGGCTAAATGGTCCATGTCCAACATCATGCAATAGTCCTAAGTAAGTAGCCAGCAACGGGGGAAAATGTTAGATACAGAAAAAGAGGATAAGAGATGGCTCAAAAGAGAGGAAAAATGGGTAACAAGGATGATTACCAGCAAGCTTTACTGTGTTGATATCATTACGCTCAATGCTGATCTCCGAACCCTACAAGTATGCCCAAGCGAATAAAGAGAATGTCTTAATATAATGGAGGGTCAGAATGAGAACCACCAGACTGTGAAGTCATTTTCCTACTTGGTGAGCTTTAATTGTATGAACAGCTTCATCAGCAAGCCAATAAACTCCCAGCGAATGCTCAAAGCGAGAATGAACAGCTCCTGGGTACACCATGTGCGACAGACCTGAAAAGCAATCAACTTAGATCAGCAAAAGGATCAAGCTCCTAAAAGCCTGATGTAAGGAAGTTCAGCTTACCAAGTTGCTTTAGATCGCGAAGTCTGCAGTGTACAGTAAAATCATCAAAACTTAAAGTAATTTCTAATTATATATGTAAAAAGAATAAAAAACCATGCATTATCTCAACAAATCAAATCAATCTTGCCTTTGAAACTGCTCCGTGTCAACAAACTTTAAGAAAAACTGCATTAACAGCAAATCAAAAGTTCAAATATTATTTGTACCAAAAAAAGGTCAAATATTATATATTAAGTAAAACTTTAATTATCAACATTATCTTCAGAAACATAATATTAATTTTATGTTCTGCCCCCATTCTAAAGTAGAAAGTTATAAATCTATTCAACATATTCGTTATTCCTTCACATTTCTTTTTCGCTAAAAAAGAGTTTAAACTTCTAAATCTATTCAAAATATTCTTCAGTCCTTCTGTTATGAATGAGAGATCAATTGAGCAGCCAAGTCAAAATGTTCAGCAAGCTCAAAGATCGGTCAGCAACAAAACGCAGTTGAAGTTAATAAAACGGTAGCGTAATAGGGGAACCAAACGTGTTTGGTGACTACGCTTGCTGCAGTGATTTTGTATATAAAGGGGGCTAATTTTGTAACAGATTCATGAAATTGGTTATCAAAATACTTTCTCCTGATCTTCTTCTCCTCTCTTGTTCCTTTCCAATCAGCAGGATTTGGTTAATTTGCAGGAGAGTTCCTGACACCTTCAAAATTCTTTTTCGCTAAATTATACTGGTCCTTCTCATATTCTTCTGAACCGTCTCTACGATGAGATTTGTAGATTCCTAAACTTTTCTTTATATTTCACTGATTAAAATTTCATTCTCTAGATAAAAAAGCATTTTGTAGTATAAACTAAATCAAAACCGGTTTATCTTATCGAAACACAGAAAACACGCATGCAAGTTCGGAAATGGAAGTGAAGCTAACACCTTATCAAGGTAGATGTTGCCGTGAACGTTGTCGCGGATGTGCTTGGACGATCGTCGATCCCGGCAGCACAATGAGTAGCAGCTCGTCACTTCTTCGTTCCAACTCGTTCCCATTCTTTTTCACAGAGGAAACGCAAATTTCCAAACAGAGAAAAACAGAGTTCATAAAACTGTGAAACGGCTTTAAAAAAAAGCACGAAAAAAATCAAAATCTCCGAGTTTCAAATTCGTTTTATTTGAGCTGTGCTAAGGTTTCAAACAGCGAGAGGGAGATAGATGACTACCGGCTTCTTAGTTGGAAAATTATGAGATGAGAAGCGAGAGAGTGAAAGAAAGCGGTTATTATAAGCGCAGGAAAGTTGGAGCGGAGGCGAAGCGAAAATTAATGCCGCTAAAAGAGCGATTTGTTCGTGAACGCGTTCTTGGGGTAGGCGCGTGGACTTCACTATCCAATAATTTTAATGATAAATTTATTATTTTTAAGGGTAAATTATACGGTTTCTCACTCTACTTTACTATCTCTCCTAATTTGTTTGCTGAACTTTACAGATTTAATCATTTTGCTCACTCTCCGTTTTCTCTCAAACGTCTGATTTTTTTTATTTAATATAAAAAATTAAAAAATAAAATAAAAATAGAAAGTGGTCGAATGCCACCGTCGACCACCGTTGACTGTCGTAGATGGTGACCGTTTGGTCTCAAAATGGGATGGGTCGCTTCGCCTTAACGTTGTGAGTTTGAATCCGACCTTCATTTTGTCGCAAGTTGCTCCGAATTCCACAAATTTGAGATTGAAAGTGAGGAAACTGAAACGTTTCAGCCCAAATTCACGGGTTTTGGGATATTTTCCGGTGAAACAACACCCAGATCTAAACTTAGGGGGTCGAAACGAATCGACCTGACCCATTTTGGGATCGAACGTCCACCATCTACGATGGTCTAAATAAAAATGATGTGGTGACCGACTGAGAGAAAATGAAGAAGAGAAGGAAAAAAAAAAGATAAATTACACCATGAGTCATTAAACTTTACTCTATCTCATATTTTACTTACCAAAACGACATCATTTTAGAGTATATTTGAGTTTGTCAAAACGACATCATTTTGACTCCTGTGTCATGTCATAACGCCTTTAAAATGTTAACGGCAAAGTGAGCAAAATGATTCAATCTGTAAAATTCAGTTAGCAAATTAGAAAAATTAAAAGTTCAGTGAGCAAAATTGGAGAGAGTAAAGTAGAGTGAGGAACCGTGTAATTTACCCTTTTTAATTGACAGCCGTTATTCGGTGGATTGGAAATTTGATGAAGGAAAAAAAAATGAATGTTATATGAAAATTAATATATTAATTTATATAAATATATAAAATTTAAAATGTAATTATAACACAGCCCGTTATCAAGTATATAAATTAACTATTTTAATAGTGTAATAATTATAATTACTATTGATTAATTAAACGAAGCAGTTACTCATAGAAGGAATCTAAAAATGTTTCAAAGCTATAAGCTGTTTTCAGAATTATATGGGTTGTAATAAGTTAAAATATTAAAAATATATTTAAACTTCATCATTTTATTATTTTTTTAATTTTTTATACTAATATGATTTGATATTTTATTTAAAATAGAAGAATAAATTCATATTTAATTACAAATTAAAAAGGTTAGGCTAATGATTTATTTTAACTGTATAAAGTTGTCATAATAAAGTAATATTTCGTTTTTGTATTACTAACTTAGTGATCTATATATAAAATAACTTGCAAAAATGGATGCTGGATTTTTATATAAACAAAGTTGGAGATGGATGGATGGATTTTATAAAATTGTTAGCCCAAGTTATACTATTATATGTTTGAAAAAAATTAGGTTAAATTATGATTGAAACCGGCTACAAATTTGGATGAATTTAGAGATGAAATTTGAAAATTCAAAATTTTGGGGATCAATTTAGAATAAGAGTCTTAATTTAGGGATGAATTGTAAATTTTAAAAGTTTAAGGATTAATTTAATTTGTGAATCATAGTTTAAGGATGAAATTAGAGTGTTTAAAGGTTTAAAAGCCAATTTAAAATAGGATCATATTTTGGGGACACATGATGTAATTAACTCTATTTTATTTGAATTCAACGAAGCTATTAAGGCCAAAAATATAGGTTTGAAGAAATAAATAAAAATAAACACTATGTTTTATTGGGTTAATTTTCAGGAGTGATATTCATTTTAATTTAATTATGAAAATGTCACTCAAAAAAATTTAGGAAAAATAACATTCTTATTGATCACGTTCACGTAGGATAAAAGCAAGTCCAGTTAGTCCACCACTCCGGCTTAACAAAGGCACATTTTACTGGACGTATCTTTATCTTATGTAGTAAGATGTATCAGCGCTGCCTTAGAAAGTATTCTTAAACCCTTCTTAACCTCTAAATTTAGATAGTAACATTTGTGTTGATCTCTTGCTTAGTGAAAGAAGTTGGAGAAAATTCCAAAGCTAGAGGAAAGTGTTGAGGTTTGAACGTCCACAACAGCTTAGGAAACAAAGATTACATACTTCTAACTCATCTCTACCACATGTAGATCATTAGGTGTGTTTTGGTAGGTTGCATGAGCTATGAAGCATGTCCATAATAAATTACATCTTGTGATGTTTTAGTGTGTTAAAAAGCCCTTTTATGATCCTTTTAATCATACATAAGGCTTAAATATCAATTAGGAATTTCAGTAGGGCTTGGGGTAGAAAGATAGGATTTTTCGTGCCCAAAATAGGACATTTCTATGCCCGAGTATCTGTACTGGTAGAACAATACCGATATTGTTCTTCAGCCAGGGTTAAAATAAGAGAAATTTTGGAAGGGAGTATCAATACTCATTCATAGAGTATTGATATTGCATGTTTGATTTCGATACCCGTAGGGTGGTATCGATACCGGGGGCACAAATTAGATTCTAGTAACCATTTTTGATATCGGTACTCAAGGGAGTATCGATACTCCCAGCAGGGGTATCGATACTGAGGTATTTTTTTTCAAAACATCGAACCTAATTTTGGTATTGATACTCAGGTCAATATCGATACCCCAACACTAGAGTATCGATACCCCAACACTAGAGTATCGATACTCAGCCAGAGGTATTGATACTACCTTTCCCTATCATCCTTTTTCAAGTGGTCAATATCGATACCAACAGACAGATTTGGATAAATAATCCAATATTTAAGGGATAAGACTTGAGGGGGCCAATAACAACACTATACTAGCATATAAAACTACAAGTGAGAACAATAATTAATACCAGAACAGTTAGAAACAATAATAACTAGGAATGCATAAAACTAGCCTTGTTTGACACTCGAGAAATAGCCAGGACACCTAAGTCTCTTTAGCAGAACACGGCAGTCTGTTGGATATCCGGTCAGTGCCAAGGCACTTCAGTTGCTGACTAGGCGTATACGCTCCATGACTCGACGTAGTAAATTGGTGGGTGTTCATTTTCGATGCAGCTCCGATCTCATCTAAATACACCAGGGTATTTTAGAAAGGCTAGAAGGGTGCCTGAGCTCCGAGAAAACAAAACCAAAGGCTTGTTTTGTACATGCCATGCTCCACTCTCCAAAGCCCAATTCCTAGCCCTATCATTTGAAAACGAGAAAACATTAAGATTAACAGTTCTCTGTATAGAGTTGAAATAAGGCGCCAACCCAATAAATTGACTAATCAAGGAATGCTTCCACTCAGAAATCCCATCCTCAAAAATAGTAGGAGGTTGAACTATCAAAACCCTTTCGCGAACAGATGACGGATGATAATCCAATGATTGCCCAACCGCCCCCGCAAACAATTACTTTCAATCAAACTTAGAAGAGTCACTGATTTCCCCTAAAAAATTGTGCTTATACCTTTATGTGTAAATCAACATATTGTTTGGTCAACTGCTCATAAATAATTCGTATAATGTTCGTTTGTTAAGCTAAATAAATTAGTATGAAAAAAAATTATGTTTATTTAATAAATGAATGAACACGAACAAAGATGTGTTTGATTCATTTATGTTCATTAACAAGCTCATTTATGAGCTTGTTTATGAGATAGTTTATAAACTCGTTTATTGACTCATTCATTTATGTTCATGAATAAGTTCATTCAACTTGTTCTCATTTTTATTTTATTTTTTAACATTTTTAATATTGGTGAAAGTAAGGACTAAATTGATCACATGGTAAAACTTGAAAATTAAAATGTGAATTAAAGGATTTTAAGCACTAAGAACATAATTTTATCATTTTTCTTTAGCTTGCAAATGAAATGGTAAAACTAAAAATTGAACATATAAATGAACACTAAACAAACATTAAATAAACACTAAATGAACCTTAAACGAATATATTCGTGAACGATAAATGAATACATTCGTGAATATATAAACGAACACGTTCACAAATATTAAACGAATACGTTCGCAAATATTAAACAAACATGTTTACGAACACCAGCAAAAATAAACAAATAAACACGAACACCTTCAAAAATAAATAAATGAACATGAACACGATACTAAAAATTTAAACAAACATGAATTAAACATTAAGACCTTCATAAATAAATAAATGAACACAAACGTAGCTTTATTCGTTCATATTTACACCCTTTAATTTCACACGATTTCTACAATGTCATGGTCTTAAAGAATATATTCTATTAAACATAATTAAAACAACAAATGGAAAATATATGCATCCCGTTGAGATGGCCGAAGGTTCTGGTCCGAAAGGGCGTGGGTTCAAATCTCACTCTCAACATTATTCCTTGTTTTTTGTGCAATAAGGCTATAGACTTAAATTGGGGGGGGGGGTAAGTAAGAAGGCATTACCACTAAATACAAATTATTATTATAAAATAAACTTAAATGATTTGTTATGGGATATTAACACATACTTACAAATTGACATTTACAATCTATCTTAATTCAATGGTAGTTAAATATTATTCGTACTATTTTTATAATAATTGAAATCTTATCATATTTATTTTTTGAGTATAAATAAATAAATAATTTTATTTTAAAAATAACATGGTAAAAACATTTTTAAATAAATATTTGTTGTACCCTTCTAGTATTCTTGATGCTTTAACTCGGGATCTTAAGGAATAATAACAATTCATTTACCATCGAAGTCGTTTGGTTCAGGGGCGGAGTCAGGATTAGATATAGACAGGGACCGAAATATTAAACTTTTTAAGAAAAATACAATAACATATTAAGTATTTAAACTTACAATTCATAAAAGAATGTCTAATTTGTCTAATAGTTACATTTATAATGACCTAAATTGTTTTAGACTAACAAATTGAGAACATTGGATTATCATTCTTTGTTTTGTGTACCACCAGTTCCAATCTATCGGTCGACTAATTTGGATCAGGTACTGCAGAGGCAAGGGTGACTCTCCCAACCCAGTTTGCTCCATTCGTAATAGCCAAGATTCGAACCCTTGATCTTGCTTAAGAGATCTAGTGTCTCATCCCGCTAAACCAACCGGTTGTAGTATCAGATTATCATTCTTTAGTTCACCCCTACTTGATTAAATTTCTAACACATTCTTATATTTCTTAATTTAAATACTTATTTTTTACATTAACTAAAATAATATTAGATCAAAAAAATTTTATAGGGGTCGGGGCCTTTAGGCCCTAAGGGAGGTCCGCCCCTGGTTTGATTCCTGCATGAGTTTTAATATTATTATGTTTTTTTTAATTAAGTAAAGTTTAGGTCAGGGGTGGTTTCCTCGATCTAGGGCATGACATATCTAAGATTCAATTGGAATTTATATAAAAATTTATATATTGACCATCAAGAATGGCGGTGGTAAGATTCGAACTGAATTTTAATATTATTGGTGCCGAAAATGTATCATTCTAAATTTAAAGTGATTTGGAAGCGATTAAGAATGGTATCTCTATCACATATCTTGAACAAAAACAGTTTTTTTTCGTTTGTATTCTGAGGTAGATTTAACGAGCGTGCCTTAAGGAGCATCATAGATTTTCAACAATCATCCATAGAGCATTATTAGACATGGAGCCATGCATTTTGGAGGTAATCAATAATACGTTTATGATCGTAAATGGACACATAATCTTATGTCAGAAGTGTAAAATTTTAAGCTAGTAAAAGATAAAAATATATTATTAATAAAAATAAAAAAAATATCAAAATGTGAAATAATTTAAAATTTTTAAGCAACATGTTGTTAAGGGTGTTTAAAATCGGATATTTTTATTTTTGGGTATTCGAGATACCGAATACCCAGAATTGCTTAGTACCAAAAAATATGCTCGTGTCTCGACCACTTACATCCGGGTATCCATAAAACTCGAGTACCCGTAAAATATGGGTACCTGTATTGTCGGGTCACGGGTGCCCTATTCATAATTTTTTATTTTTTTAATTATATTATTTCTAAAAAATCATATAAAATTTTTAAAATTTTAAAACTTAAAGGTATATAATATATATAATCCACACATAAAGTTAAAATTTTAGATTACATAATTAAAAGAAATTTATTAAAAATTAAGATAAACAAATATAATTAAATTTCAAATGTTTTGAAGTTAAAATAAATATTTTTTAAAAATAATTTAGAATGTTAATGTAAAATAATTTAAGAAATTAAGAATTTAGAATGTTATGATCGTAAAATTTATAAAATTAAAAATTTAGAATATTAAAGTGAAATAATTTGAGAATTATGAATAAAAAATTTAATATAAAATAAAAAAATATAATAAACCAGATACCCGATTAAGTAATATTTTGTGACTCGAACCCGACTGAAAAACCAAAAAAATAGTAAACCAAGTATCCGACCTAAAAAATTGGATATTTTTATTATAAGTACTCGATGTTTTTTTAACCATAACGAGTCAAATCAACCAGATAAAATATTTTTGAACACCCCTATCATGGACTTTCTATAAACTCATCCTTGTTTATGATAAAATTTTAATACGAGAATATTGTTATCCATATTATACTCCAAAAAAATTAAAAGATATTTAAATAATTCAACTATCCTTGAAAAATATATTTATATCTTCTCTTACGTGGCAACATAATTTAACTCGATTTCTAAAATGTTAGGGTTAAGGATGGTAAACAGGTATAGTTTTATAGATTCCGCACTGCATCCGCTCCAATTGGAGAGGGGATGGGTATAATTTTAGCAGGTAGTGGACGAGTGTGGATTTATAAAGTGGTACCCGTCGTGAGTGGTGGGCGGGTAATGGGTTTGAGACATTACCCGCCCCGCATCCGCCCGCCCAACTAAATATATATTAAATTTTGGACCATTATGAATTTAGGTGTAATTTTAGAGACTAATTTATAAATTTTAATATTGTATAATATATAACATATAATTTAACCAAATTTAAGGATATTTAGTTTTTAATCTGGTCTTTAATTAGGGAAATATTCGGCTCTTTGATTAAACTCATAATCCCACTAACCACGTCACTTTCCATGTTCTTTAGCCCATGCTGCCCATCCAAACACAAATTAGCCGTACTATATGTATTAACATCAAAAGCAACAGTTTCCATGTTCTTTAACCCCTCAAAACCCATATTAGGCGCACTATGAGCATTAACATCGAAAGCAACTCAACAATCGAGCTCTGCGACTACATGCTCCCTATAATCTAACTCCATAACATTCGTAGAGCCACTCCTCTAACAAATTGAAGCATGCATTGCTACCCCATCACGAACTGTCTGGGAACCAACTCCAACATCCCATTAGTTTGATGTCAGACGGGTCTAGATGGGTATGTCGCTAGTGGGTAGTGGGTGTGGGGATGGATTTGAAAATGTACCCGCGTGGACGAGTGTAAATTTGAAAATTTGTACCCATCATGAGTGGTGGACGGGTGGTGGATTGAAAAATATTAGATGGGTATAGAGATGAGGGAGGAGATATCCACACCCGACCCGCCGGTTTGCCATCCCTAGTCATGGTCATATGGAACATTCACGAATTCTTGGACTTGCATTTCAATTCCAATAGACGGATTGTTGGCAGCTAGTTGATGGAATTAAAGATATTAAATAGAAAGGGGAAGTCTACAATATATGTTGAGATGGCCGAGTTGGTCTTAGGCGCCAGATTAAGGGTCTGGTCCGAAAGGGCGTGGGTTCAAATCCCACTCTCAACATTATTCTTTATCCGGGTTTAATCGGCCCAAGTGAATTTGAGTCACGATCTGCTCTTCCTTTCATTTTTGGGCCCAAATTTGAAATCATTAGATCTTTTATTAAGTGAGAGGTATTACATTTTCAAGGTAAATTATTAAATTTGACACCAAATAAGTGTTTTCTAGATAAAAATTGGAAAGGATTTGTTTATTTTAATATTGCTGATTAAAGTATGTGAGCTTTTAGTTTAAAATTGGGGAAAATTAATTTAGTTATTGTCAGTCAAAACATGTGATTAGGTATGAAATATTGTGTAAATAAGGTTAGTCAATTTATAAATGAACCTCTTTGATACACATTGGAAAGCAGTAATGTGGATTCTAATTTATCTCAAAGGAACTTCTCATTGCTTCAACGTCGAAAGCAAAGTATAAAAGCTTAGCAAACTCAGAAGTTGTATGGATTGAACGACTGCACGTTATAATGCCATCGCAACATTTTAATGAAATTTGGTTCCAAGTCCAATCTCATGATTGAAACCCATATATCTCAATAAATCTCTATCAAAACACGAATTTCTTAGGACATGCAAGAAACATCGGGTGAACAAAAAATCTTATTACACAACACTGTGGCGAGACAACAAACTTTCCTTTTCAGGGTTTAATATTATCTTTGATTTGAAACAAGCACAGAATGAAGGTCCAAGCAACACTGTAACCAATGCTATAGAGGAGTTGCAAATCCTGTCACAGTGAGCATATCGATCAGTAACTTAGACCCCAAGAACCACATCACTCAAGCTGCCATGCTATAAGCTTATTATGGAAACTAATGGCAGATACACTTCAAAATGAAATGCTCATCATTAAAACCAATAACGACGTCTCTTGCATGCATGGTTTATCGAGGTTAATAACCAAATTATTTTCAATTCTATAGGTACTAAAAATGCTGTGCAGCAAAACCCTATATTGCAAACCTGAGGCAAGTAAAGGAATTATTTAGACAAAAAATTTGCATAAATATGAATCTGGAAGAGCTTAAATATGGCATGGCATCGACATAATTTCAAAACAAAGTGTTGTAGCACCACGATGTTAATGAACATTTACCCTAGAAGACTTCCTAAGGAGATACAAGAAATCTAAGAGAAAAAGGTATAAGCTTGTGTAGCACAAAAAAGACAACAGTGAAGTTTCTTTCCTACTAAAATGGTTGACAGCAGCATAGAACGCTAGTGACAACCATTATATTGGATGAATCAAAGTGAACTTCCAAACACCAAACAGGAATCGTTTCACAATAATTTTATAATCAAAGGTTGAGCTCAAATAGCTTACACGTGAACCATAAAATAGGTATAGGGTTAGTGGTTTCAGCTTCATTAGATATAAAACAATCTGGGAATAAATGGATCTTAAACCAAATAAACTTTGGAAAACATTCAAAGTAACTAGCTGAAAATAAGGCAGCAAGATTCATTGACATTTCTCCGACCCCAACAACTATGCTCTTTTATCCTTATAAGTTTCCCACTCTAATAATTTACCAGGATAAAGAAACATATAAAGTTTTATCGAGAACAGGGCGAGAACAGGGCCCCTGAGCCACGAATTTCACCATCCCCCAATCCAGCCATAATTTCACAAACAAACATGAAACATACTTTGTCCAACAATTGAATACTCTCTACCAAAGAATGGAAAACAAGAAGAGGCTGCGCATGATGATGTTCATTATATCGATCAACCCACATAGCTTCTAGTTCCATTGTACCTATAAAACCAAATACCTTCCCGTGCTATTTATCCACCATTCTATTTACCCACCAAAGGACAAACTATCTTAAAACACGAGCACATTCTCACCCCACAAAAAGAGAAAGACGCAAACAATGCAGCAATGAATGGAAATTCCAGACAATAATACATTGCTATAATGCAACCCAAAGCATTACAATAAGCTAAAGAAGAATATACAAACAAAAGGGGGCGGCATCAAGCAGAAATTACCTTCTGACAAACACCCCCAGCTTTGATTATGCAAAGACAGCAACGAAGTGAACAAAGCGGAAGCCGTAGCACTGTGCAATGGGATCAAACTTACTGCACCACCCAATTCCACTGGAAGCCTATAAAACAGAAACGTCGAGCAAACACTTATTAAGAACTTAGAACACAAAGAAATGAAGCAGTAGCATGGAAAATGAGGCAAAACCTGGAAGAAGTGAGATTGCGGAGAGAGAATCGAGGAGCAGAGATTTTGGTAGGAGAGAAAAGGCCAGCAAGGCTATTGTTTGCAGGTCTTGAGGACGGTAAATGGGTAAATATGGTCTTGGCCGAAGCGCACGAGAATCCTAGGGTTCTTCTTCCACAAGTAGCCGCCATGTTCCCTTTGGGTTCCCAAAAACCCTGAAGCCTAAACCACAGATTTCTTCTTTGTTTTAGTACTCCATATACTTTTAAAAATTATTTACAAGTAAATATTTGATTGAAAATATTATGGTATGTTTATTGCATGAATAATAGATTTCGAAAAATAAATTTTGTAAAATAAATTATATTTTCTAAAAAAATAATTTCTGGAAATCATTTTACGTATTTGGATGATGTTGTGTAATTCGTTTCCACTAGTTAGTAATTTTTAAAAAAATTCATTATGGTAAACATCAAATACAATAAATAATTTATTTATAAAATATTAAAATAATTATTTAATATTATTTATATCAATATTATTATTAAAATATTATATCTACAATTTTATAAATTAAAATATTATGATTATTATATTTTATTAAAATAAAATTATTATAAACTATATTAAATATTTATTAAAATGAGAAAAATATATTTTTAATTATATTAATTATTTATTAAAATATTAAAAATTATAATATTAAAATAAAATACTATATTATATTTTAAAGAGTATATATTAAATATTCAACAATTCAATAATATTATTTTTATAAAATTAATAAATAATATTAATTTTACTAATAATTTATTATTAAAATAAAAATATTATATTATATATTATAATAATATAATTATAAAAATAAAATATTATATTATATTGTTAAAATTATCAATAAATATAATTTAATTATTTTTATTTTTATTAAAAATAATATATTAATAATGTATTAATATTACATATAAAAAATAATAATGTTTTGAGTGTTTATATTTTGAAGTGAAAAGTTCATAAAATGGCTTACGGAAAATTAGATCGTAAGTTATTTTTCAGAAAATACAAAAGAAATTCAATTGACCAGAAAAATGAATTACATTGATCGTCTGTTTTCCGCCAATCAAACACTGAAAAATGAGTAAAATGTTTTTCGAAAAATCAATTACAAAAAATAAACATACACTAAATTTATATTTTTTCTGTTATATTATAATATAAAAATTATTTTTTAAATCTTTTTAATATCATCCTCTACATGTGGTATTATTCTCAATCACGTGTCCAAGTCTCAATCATATAAAAAGGATAAAGTACATAAATAAACACAAAATCATATGTTAAAATAATCCTTTTAGCTACTAAACTCTTAGAAATTACAAAATAGTTATTAAATTTCTCAAACAATTACAAAATGATCATTAAACTTTATTAAATTATTACAAGGTATAATGCCAAAATCCACATTTAACATTTTACAAAATAGTCACTTTAGTCCTTAATTCTTTTTAAAGCATTTTGACCCTCTATGTTTCATTTTAAGATAAAATACCCTTTGGTTGAATGAAAATTATTAGTTAACTAATGACTAATGTTGGTGGCTGCTTTCAAATAATAATAATAATAATAATTGTGGCTGAGGTGGTAAGTAATGTGTGTCTAGAGTGATGACGTGACAAGTATTAGGTCATCACTTATATATATATATATATATATGACATATGTCAAATCATCATTTATGATCACGTGTCATATGACATGCCATCACTTTGGATACATATGATTTTTCACATCAACGACAAGCGTTAACTGTTAGTCAACTAAATGTTTTCATCCAACCAGAGATCATTTTATCTTAAAATGAAACATTGAGGACTACAATGCTCCAAGAAAGGAATATAAATCAAAATGATCCTCAAATTTATCAAAATCACTATTTTTATAGTGTATAATGATACTTTATAGCAGGTCCATAAATTCAATGAAATAATGTATAACTTCTAAAACTTTAACAATGAAGAAAGTATTTCGATATAATTTATTAACCATTTATATGCTTTTTTCCTACAAATATGTCTCATTCAAGTTATCAATATCACAGAGCAAGCAGTTATATCAGACGTCCATAGAACATAGATATATGATTGAGAAAACGAACATGTGAGAGGAACGTGGTGGGAATGTATTGGTTATAATAAAGCATGAATGTAACTATCTTATACATGCATCATTTATATGATGCAGACTGGTCATCAAACCTAAGGAATCAAATTTATTCAATGGTTTATGACCCCAGTTTCAAACTTCAATTTCAACAAACCCCAGATCATATATGTTATTTACTGAACATACGTAAAATTTATAGTTATTATTATTATCGAAAATCGATAATTCAACTGATTGAATTTAAAATAATAATTATTCGATTGATTAATTCGGTGAAATAACATTATGATTCGTTGATCCTTTGAATGGGTGTTCCAAAGATAGCAGAATATGAACATGGTTTAATTATTTATTTCTGGTATTGACTTGGATGAACGATGAATGTATGATTCATGCATTATTAGACTTATATTTGACTATTGCACAATGCAATAGTAACATCTGTCAGATGGGTAGGTTTGAACACAGAATTGGAGCGAGTGTCATTAATGCTTGCTGTGGATATCTATGTTCAGATTACATATTAAAATCAAGTTGATTAGGGTGAATACCCAAAAATAAGGCGTTATTATATAAAACCCCCCTAAAAAATTATTTATTAGATTAGGGTAAATTACATGTTTACTCACTAAACTTTACTATTTCTCTTATTTCACTCACCGTAATTTTAATTTGCTCACTGAACTTTAGACATTGAAAACTTTTTTTGTCACTCGACCATTTTCTCAGTAACGAGGTGTTCACGTGGCTTATTTTAATAATAAAATATGTCACATGTTTACTCGCTGAACTTTATTTTCTCTCTCTTATTTCACTCATTGTACTTTTAATTTTTTTAATTTTAATTTAACGGCGTTAGAAATTTAACGGTCGAATAACCAAAAAAGTTCAATGTTTAAAGTTTAGTGAGGAAGCGTATAATTTACCCATTAGATTAATACCTCCTAAACAAGTTTTTTTCTTTGAAAATTACACTCAAATTGTCCACGTATGATAACTTCGCGTTATGTAAAAATTGATATCATACCTCATGTTTTACGAAAAACAAGTATCATACACTGATTTGTTACCTTATAAAAAAATTACTTTATCTTAAAATTGATGGGTCTCACGCCTAAATAAAACTTGAGGTCCGTTAAACATGTTTAGTATCTACGTATACAATTTAGAGGATATTTTTCTAAAAAATATGTTTGGGAGGTATTGGTCCGATTATATATATATATATGTAATAAAACCCAAAAATAAACCCTAACATCACATACTTTGGATTATGTTTCCAATACCATCTTATTTATGTATGTTGTACCATCCAAATGGCCCCGCTCGTATTAAATTTGGAGAATTACGATGACAGAGTAGAGAAGTCAACGAAGCCATGGACTAGTTCTTGGGTGGGGACATTATAATAAGTAAAAAGAAAACTTATTATACTTTTTCTAATTATTTATTAAGAGATTGGATGGTATATTTGAATAATTAAGCAATCAAGAAATTACGACAAATTATTTAAAAATTGTAATAACTTATATAATTTGTTATTTGTGTAATTTGATAATATTTTTCATAATTAAATGATTGGCTATTAGGATCAGTATTCTATTGGAATATTAAATGTTAATTTATATAAGACTGTGAAGCATATTTTATCAAAATTACAAGGCCGACGATCACTATTCTCTCAGCGGCATTTATTCAAACACTTGACATTGAGTGTTGAAGTTTATGGAAACTTTTGAAAGATGGTTGAATGGTGCTGTGATTGATTGTTCCTTCGGGTTTTCACTTCTGTTGGATGAATTATCAACCACAAGTGAGTGAAAAACCTGCATTTCTTAGTGATTGATGGGCTCTCTTTTGCCTTTTCTTTGGAGGAATTGTTCATATTTGCAGAAATGGAAACGAATTATGCATTTACACGCTTTACAAATCTTCATTAAATTCACTCATATCCCGTGATCTTCGACTAACATATTTAAAGCATAAAAAGGAGGAAAAGAACAAATAATTCATATTTCTGTATTGCATTCCATAATTTTAAACTAAAGGAGGGGGAAAAAACAAAATGGACAAATTCATAATTTCATCATTGGCTAAGTTATCTTAGCCAAAGGTTTTTTTTTCCAACCAAATTTAAGTTAATTTACTTACGAATCAGCTATGGTCCAAGTCATATCATTCTCGAAAATCCAGTGGCAAACCTCGATCCGACCCGGACCCGAACCCAGAGCCAAGAATGCCCCGTGATTCGAACTCCAACTAGATGTGTCCAAATGACAGATGGCCACACCGTGATTGATCTTCTCCCTTGAATTCGGATCCAGAATATCCGCTACATAGACCCGGACCTTGGGAACCGAGTGACAGTAGTAAAGCAAATACGGGTACAAACTCTGGTGACAGGAAACCGATTTCGTTACTTTCCCACCGTTGATTCCTCTCACGGTTCCGATCTTTATGTTCTGCTTCGACCCGTTAACGCTCTCCGTAGTACGAACCTCCACGTTCCGCCCCAGAACCGAGGTGGCGAAGTCGATCATGTCCTCCGCCGACCCAACGCACCGCTTGGTCTCGCCGGGCTCGGTGCTCGCTCGCACTCTTTTAAAGCGTCGAGCATTAGGGTTTCCAGTGTGGAGTTATCCCCAGCCCGGAATATCTGTTTCAATTCATCGATATTGGAGGAAGAAAATGGAATTTTTGAGACAATGGTCCGGGGCAAAAACGACCTTTCAGGCATTTTATCTTTGATGTCCGGCATTGGCATCACCGTCCCTTGATTCAACATCTTTTCCCGGAAGAACTTGCCCGGCTCCACCCATTTATTCACGACACTGCCACTGGCCTTAACTTGAGCAGTTTCAGAAGAACTCTCGTTGTATCTACTGAAAGTAATACCTTTTTTTGAATAATCCTTGAATGTGTTGTTTCTTCCATAGATTTTGAACCCAATGGATTGACCGACGGCTCCTTGGCCATACCCGGTGAATTTATCAGTTCCTTCGTTGAACGATTGGCCGTAGTTTGAGAAATCGACTCTCTCCCCATTGGAATTTTTGGCGTACGATTGGAAAGAATCGTCA